AGAGTAATAAATCCTATAATTCCTTTTAACCTATATAAGTTATAACCCCTTAGATTTACCTTTTAGTTTAAGTATTAAGTACCTAATTTTAGTATAAAACTTACTTAAGTAGGGTATAGAGGTAATATCTATATAGTATATATATAACTTAACTTTCCTATTATTTCTACTTATATTTTATTTAAGGAAATAGGATATTTAAGAGGTAGATCTTAAGTTTTATATATTAGAGGAGAGGGTAAGAGAACTTAAATATTAAAAGAAAAAGTATAATTTATAGTAATAAATTATATAGTTAGAGCTAGAGTTAGAAGAGAATTAAAATAAACCTAAATTATAGTTAGAAAATAAGAGAATAGATATTATATTTAGAATATATATATATTTAATATAAGTAATAAACTTAGTTAAGTAAGTATAAATATAGAAGTAATTATATTAGATATATATATATTAAGTATATATTAGTTCCTTAGAAGTACTTATAAACTTTAAACTAGCTTAGTTAATATATATATACTATAGTTATATAGGTATCTATATTATAAAGCAATAATATAATCCCCTTATATACTATATATATATTAAGTTAAATAAACCTCCCTTATTACCTCTATTTATAAGTAGGGTGAGTATATATTAAACCTATTTTATAATAGCTTAAGAGCTATAACTAAGTATTTAGTTAGGGTAGTAACTATATATATATATAGTATTAAATCTCTATTGATAGCTAGTTATTACTAAGGGGAAAGGGGAGGGGGGGGGTAATTTAGACTAGGTTTAGTTTATAAATTATATTAGTATATACTTAAGTAAAGCTATATATATATATAGAATATATTATAAATTAAAAGGTAATAAGTAGTACTAGAGGTAAGTACCTTCTTAAAGTTAAAGATTACTTTACTTAGTATATTATTAGTATCTAAGTAAATAATACTTAGTATATATATAACTTATAGCTAGTTTTAAGTATTTTAATAGGTATCTTAAGGCTAAAAGCGTATAGAGGGTTAGCTATAGTAAGGCTATACTATATTAAATATTAGTATATACTTAGTTATAGATATAGAGATATTATACTTTTTACTTTTTAGATAAAGGTATACTACTCTTAATATAATTACTAAGCTACTTCTTAGTTAGTTTTTATTAAGTATATATAGAGCCTATATTAAGCCTATATTTTATTTATTCATAATTAGTAAATTACTATTTATATTATACTAAGTATTTAGTAAAGGTAAAGGTATTATATACTTACTAGCTTATTTATTTACTACTTTATATAATAAGTTATAAAATAACTAGATATTATTAAGCTCTCTTATTTTATACTTAACTTAAGTTATAATATAAAAGTACTACGTATTATATTAATATATTTAAAGTAAATAGTAAAATAAATAGTAAATATATAGTATCCTTTAAGTATATATATATATAACTTATATAGTAGAACTAAGTTCTATACTTAGTAGTAAAGTAAGAGTTAGTAGTTTTATAAAATATATTAGCTATATATATATTAAAGATATATAAAAGTGAAACTTATATAAGCTTTTCTATCTCTATAATATATTTACTAATTAAACTATTTATAAAGCTATAGTTATAAAATATTAACTATATATATACTAAAAATAGGCTAGTAATATATCTAAGTTTCTAAATAAAATATATATTATATTACTAATTAGAATAGATATAGGCCTTTAGAGTACTAAATATTATATTAGTATATACTAAAACTATATAAGGATTAAGTTATATTTTTAGCTAACTACTTATTTATAAGTAGTAGTATTAATATAAAAAGTATTTTAGACTAGAATTATATTAGTATATATATAGTATATATAGTTAAAA